AGAAACTCCCTCTGACTTTACTAAGCTAAGAATTATGCCTCTGCTGGGATAACTGTATTACAGCAATTTCCCTGCTGGCACTTGGGGAATGTGGAGCCAGGACAATTTGGCCAATTTTAAAAATAAAAAGTCTGTTTGTTGTTTTGCGATTGCTTCTGGCAAACGTGGACTAGTTGATGGGATTAGTGGGATGGTTTTGGCAAGGTAGCTTGTTTCTTCAGGTTCTCCCACCCCTCATCTGTCCATTTTAGCAAGTTTTGCTAAATTGGCAGCATCTAAAAAATAATTAAAATGGGGGGGAATCACATATTTAGAGGCAATGAAGCCAAAAGCTCAAATGCAGTGGCTTTTACTTCTTTGTCAAATTTAACATCTACTATCAAGAGTAAAAACTGAAGAAAATTACTGCAACAAAAAAGGGAAGAAAAATAAATAGAAGTTTTCCTCATCTTAAGTGTATCTGTGTCAGTCTTCTAACCTGCAAAACCAAAGATTAAACTGTGGCTTGGGAACAGAAAAACAGGCCATTGAAAGAGAAATTATTTGAAAAACGTTTTGCATTGATTCAGAAGGATAAGGCATTGATTCGGAAAGATGCAGTGATATGGGAGATGCTGCTTTAAGGCATATGGGCAATTTCCTGGTCAGTGTCTCCAGGTGCTGTAAGGCTGAGTGGTCTGTGGCCTCCCTTTGCCTCTCCAGTGTTTCTTGGAATAAAGCAGGGAGGTTTTGCTCAGAAGCCTCGTGCTATATTTAACTGGTGTACAACCCTAAAAGGGATTTTGTGAGGCGTGCAGCCCACCCTCCCCTCCTGCAGCTGCAGCAGGCTGTGTTTGACACAGGGGCTGCTCTGAAGCAGTGAGATCTGATGGAATTGGGGCTGAAATAAGTGATGGATCCCATATCAAGTCCTGTAGTCAAAGCCAGCAATGCACAGTGTGAGTATGACCCTAGCCCAAAAGTGGCTTTGGGGTCATATTCAGCAGAACCAACTTGCAGATAAACAGGTGAGGGACATAATTCAGCCTGATGGTGCAGTTTCACAGGGGAACTGGGTGCCACCAGTGTAAAACTTGAGCTTTAGTGTAAAACTCCAGCCTGATTTCACTGCCTCGTTTCTCGTTCCATCCTGATACCTGGCATATATTCAATTTCTTTACAATAATAGACAGTTTCTTCATCTGCTGCCCTTTCTGTGTGTGACGGCTATAAACCACTGGTTACAAAGCTTGAGTGTTTCAGAATCTACTGACATTTAAGGAAAAAGATTACCAAGCCCTTGAAAGGAGCACAGCACTGAAATACACAAAGAAGCAAGTGCAACTTCCTTGCTGTTAAAGCGATAAAGAAATTAATGGCACACTGGGTTCCAAAATCCCACTGCTGTTTGGAGATATCGCCTTTTTCCTCTCTTTTTTTTTTTTTTAAACTCTTTTCTCCCTCCACAATGTATGAAGGCAGCTGCAGTTAAAGGGATGGTAAGGCACAGAAAAGATATTGCTTCCCGTGAGTTTTATGAAGCTGATATCAATCTTTTTTTTTTTCATAAACTTCAGTCCTGTTATTACCCTAAAAGCGTGTTCCACAGCATTTAATGTGACACTGATGAGAATACAAATAAGGGGAGGTGAGGGAGATGGAGGACAGAGAGAGAAGAATCAAATGATGTTAAATGCAAGGACCTGAACAGCACTTCCACACCCGTTGCCAGTGAGGAGAGTTTAAAGGGGCCAGGAAAGCGTGGAGCATCTGAATTGTGTTTGGGGCAGTAAATCAATTTGAGCTTCAACAATGAGGTAAGAAATATCATCTGAGGAAGGTGAGAGAAGAAATTTAGGTTATGGAGGCATGAAGGCTTGCATGTGAGCTAATGAGGCATGCTTTAGCTAAGTGTTGTGTAGAAAGACAGGGTATAGATGTCCTTGAAATTGGGATGATATGGGGTGGAAAACAAATGCTGTGGATTTTCTAAACTTTCACCTGGAAGTGTATGAAATGCTTATTAATTTGATGTCACATTTAGCCAGTGCTTGGCTAGATTCTAGTAGATGTGAATAACTTTTCATAGAGAAATTATCTTGTTCCTGAATAGTAAGACAAGGTTGGGCCACTTCTTCTGTTCCTTATCTGATACATGAATTGTCAGAAACTGGCATGTCCAAAAGAAGAGGTAATTTTTCATACAGGGTGCAGCAATGAAATTCCTTGCTTCAGGACATTGGGGATATGTAGTTTGCAGATTCAAGCAGAGGCTGGACAAATTAATGGAGTAAAATCTACTCAGAATTACTGTACATCCACGAATAATCCAATAATCTTTGGTTTGGGCACTCCCAATCTTTGGTTTGAGCTGCAAAGTGCTGGAGATTAGAGAGTGCTCTGAAGAATGCTGACTGTCCAAAGCTTATCTTCCTTCCTTGGCATCTGCAATGCCACAGGGTAACCAACAAGGGGAGCATCCATCCAGCTCATCAAGTCCCTTCTTTGCCCAGACCACATCCTCAAACTTTATTGCTGTGAGGAAGTGGACAGGACAGTAGAGAACAGAAGAAAGTAACAAATACAGTCTTGGAAACGAATCTGGAGAAATAGTGGAGTGTGAGCTGGACACGAACTTGAGTGCAGTCAGAGCAGTGACATCTTTCTGTTCATCACCTTTCTCCAGTGTGATGCACTCTCAGCCCCTGGGGCAGCAGCTGAGGAACCCAAGAAGGCAGACAGCAGAATTTTTGAGAATTCTGTGTTAGCACTTTCAAGGAGCATTGCTGTGAACAGGATGTAAATGAAGAGGTGACAAATTACCTGATATGGTCATAGCAACAGTGCAGGCGTTCTCTTGACAGCTTTTTCAGGCTCTCTAAATTCTCCATAAATATATTAATATTTTGAATGACTTCTACCATATGTGATATATATTGTCAGTTCATAATTTCAGTTCAGGTGCTCTGTGCCTAATTTGCATACATGAGTATATGAGGGAAATTTATCTCATTTTCAGGTTATTATTCCAACTGAGAATTCAGAGTGCGCACATGAAGATTGTGTGTAATTTTCTACAAGCATGAAACTTTTCCTCAATACAACTCAGTATGTATTTTGAGTAAAGAAAAAAACTATTTTAACGTCTCAATGTTTGTCAAAACCACTATAATACTGTTAAGAAATAATAAAATAGTGAGACAGATTGCAGCAGTCAAAGTATCTGTCCTTTGAGTTTTGATGAGATGTAAAATCGGTTGAAGTTATTTCAGATTTCTGCAAAAGAAGTCTGCTTTGAAATGTCACTATTTCATGAGAGTTTTCAATGGCTCTTCAAGTGACACAAAGTATTCTCATGTCACTGTTAGAAACCCTAACCTGTGCAGCTGTTCTTACATAAGAAATTTACTTTGCAAAGGTAATTCATAGCTGAGGACCAAATCAGTTCTTCAGGGCTTATAGAAAGAGAACCAAGCTCCAGGAGAGAGTGCAAATCCAAAAAGCAGCACCTTTCTCAGGTGTTTTACTGTCTACATGCTCAGTGGAGGAAGAGGGGATGGCTGCTGACATGTTTTGAAGGCAACCAACACTAACAATGTAATCTGTAGGCCTAATCCTGCAATTTTTTGGTGTGAAGATTTGTTCCAGCCATGTAATTTGCACTAATTTAGTGTTGAACAGCTTTCAACTCCTCTGTGTACAAGCTAAATTCTCTTAACACTTGGATAACTTGGACTGTAACTTTTTATAGGAAGGGACTGTGGTCTTTGCTCAATATTCTGTTTGGGATTCCTTAGGAATTTCAAGAAGTACAATAATAAATTGAAAAAAAAAAGGTACTTCATGATGCTCAGGCACACAGTTAGTTTTATGGGGATCTATCCCTGAGAAGTGGAATAGTTGGTGCCAAAGTTCTGTGTGGGCAGCTAATGAGTTTCTTACAGATGCATGATTATTTGTGGCTTTGATATATCACACACAAAAGAAAAATCTTCCTATATATCTATGCACTCATATTTAATTCTGTTCTTACAGTGTCAGGATTTTGACAGCAAAAATCATAAATCCCTGAACAAAAAGAACCACCCCCCACCCTAACACCATCAAATTATTTCCCAAATACCTCAGGTTTTTGGGGGTTTTTTGTTTGTTTGGGTTTTTGTTTTGTTTTTGTTTGTTTGTTTGTTTTGGTTTTGTTTTTTTGTGTGGGTTTTTTTTTTGTTTGGTTTGGTTTTTGGTTTTTTTTTCCTCCAGAAAAAGCACTCCAATAATGGAAAAGCACCAAAGAATTCCCTCTTTTTTTCCTCTTCAAAGTCAGGAAGAAATCATCCTGAAATCCTCTCCAAAAGCAGGGGTTTTGTCCATTTCAAGCAAGGCAGGAGAATCACAGAAGCGTCCTGGCTGTATAAAAACAAGCTCTAATGCTGGTGTCACCAGGTCACTGCCTGTCTTTCTGTAATGGCCCCATGGGACCCTGGTGCCATCAAACCCCCCAGCCTTTGTCACAAGTCTTTTTTCCCAAGCTTCTTGTGACTATTTTCAGCACTTTATGAACAGAGGGAGTCTGTGCTCTGCTTCTCTCTCCTGTTGTGGATGATGTTTCTATTTGCCTGATGAATTTCCCCCTCTTCTTATCTAGACTTTGTCCCCTTGTGTAGTAATGAGGAGCAGACCTATTTTCCTGAGAGGTGATGATGAACTGCAAGCAGGACAGGAGGAAACAGACCAGGTCATGATGTGATTACACCTGTACTCATAAGAGCAGGGGCTGATTATGCCTTCAAAGCTAATAAAAAAACCCCTACTTACTTGTGGGACGATTCTGCTGGCACCCAACAAGTGGAAAAGCAATTTTCACCCAATTGAAATTTTTGTTTAAAAAAGATTCTTCAGGAAACAGAAACTAATTTTTTTTTATTTTATCTCTTAAAACTGGATTCTGCCAAATATTAAGAGACCTATCTAATAGCAACACATTTTTAAAGTAATGAAATATTTACAGCTGGAGCCTTCAACAGAGGAACAGTAGAGTGTGTTTATTTTGCAGCTCAGTAAATTATATATACACACCAAGAATCAAATGGATGCTTTTGGTTGATCATGCTAATCCAAACAAGCTTTCTTTATGGTTTTTAATCTGGAGAATTTGTTTTCCACTCCCATGCAAGTAATTATCAAAGCATCTATTAAACACTATAAATAAATCCAGGCCCTAAAATTTGTCTCCAGACTCTGAGCACACAGTATGGCTGTGGGGCAAATCATCCCTCAGCAAAAGCTGGTGGTTTTGTCGCTCTCCCTGGGCCCTTCCTAGACCCTTAAAGGAAAACTGCAGTGATAGCTAAATAAACATTTGCTAAATAAGAACATATATATATATTGAAATTTATGCAAAACTGTTCAGAAATATCTGGCAAAATTTCTGTCTCACTATAGTAGTAATGTGTGCTTGTAGTTTTTCCAAATGCTTTGCCAAGTCCAAGATGAATTCTGTTTCAGCACTTATTTCCACAACTTGTTTCCCAGGTAAAGTCCCAATATGAACTGTCTGCAGCCAGAGTCCCTGGAGCATTTGGGAGAAAAGGAACAAATTACATGGAAATACAGCATATGCTGTTGGCCAGACGACCTCTGCTGTTGCTTAAACTCAGTAGAATTCACCCCTGCAAAAGTTAATAATTTGAAAAGGGCAACCTGCAAGAGAGCAAGATAAAAATTCAGGAAGCATAGAAAACTTGAAAACTCAGATAGAACCTCAGAAACAAACCTGTTTAAAAAGTAAGGATCTCAATTTATGCAGATGTATGTCGACCTGTGTGTGCATGTGTTTACTCAGAAAGTGGTAATTTCCCTGCTTCCAGTCTGCTTCCCTGTTATCACTGCTCGTTGCTTTGGGTGCATAACTTGAGTTGCAGCATCCAGTGGAGAGCCAGTGGTGTGGCCCTGAGCTGCTGCTGGGTTGGTGGTGGAGGCTGCTCCTGGTCACAGCATTCAGCTGCACTCAATGGCATTAAAGGGGACTTAAGGGGCTGGATGTGATAATGTCATTTTTACTCATTGTTTACTATTGAATCTGGTGAGCCTTGAGTAGGCCAAGCCATAAGAAGGAAGAGCCATGCACACTATACCAGACAGAATAAAACAGAGAAGTGGAAATAAAAGGGTGACAGCCAAAATCAGACTAGAACTCATCACCAGTCTCACCCGAAACCCAGACCTGCTCTGAGTTTCACAGAAAAGCTTCCTTATCATGAATACTGCATTCAGATGGTTTGTCTCACACTTTTCTCCAGTACTGGAGCAGGGTCAGCCTTTATTAGATGAACATGCTTTCTGATTCAGCAGGAACAGTTGGATTTGTACCATAGTTATCCCATAGCCATGCCACTGGAGCCCACAAAAAGTTAATCCCCATTAGCCAAAGAAATGGCCTAAATTGTTATTAGGGTTTTTCTTTTTTAAGAAGTTAAATGAGAAAAATATCACTAGAAAAAGTGCAGAAAGCAAAAAGCTTGGAATTGCTTAGCTGGTTCTTTCCAGCTGGATTGTTCTCTAATGCTGAACGTTAATTGGAAAATAACAGCATTCCTGCCTGCTTTTAGAAAATCAATATGCGTGGCTTTTTGTCCCCCTCCCCCTGTTCAGGTTAATTCATTACCAGGATATTTTTAGATTACTGAATAAATAAAAAACAGCCCTTTTCCAGTCAAAAGCTAATAACTACAACCAGAGCCAGAAAGATCTCCTGAGTGTAGCCCTCTCCCTGCCTCCAGTGCTGCTCACTGATGTCCGTGCCAACCGCCTGCCCCAAATCACTTGTCAGCCCTTCCACAAGGCTGGATATGCATCCCGTGCTCCTTTGAACTGGCACAAGCTGGAGGATCAATGGCTCTGTTTGGCAGGGGCTGGACATTTTCTAGCAGCAGCAGCTTGGCAGGGCTGGCTCAGTGTAAGGATGTTAATGCCAGTTCACCACTCCCTGTGAACCAAGGGAAAGAGCAAGGCAGGAGAAGAGAGTGGCAGAACTGGAAATGCAAAGAGGCAACATCATATTTTACAGAGGATGACTCACAACATAAAAAACAATAATTCTAGCAACGTTGTTTTGCATTTTTTTTTAATACATAGTCCTGCTCAAATCCCCCTGGATCTAATTAAAACTTTGTTGGCCACCCACCAATCATGATAATTATGTTGTCTGGCAAAAACAACAACAAAGACGCAATAAGATTGTGCAGAATGATGCACCTACCTGACAAAACAAAACAAAACAAAAAAAAACAATCCAGGGCCCATGTCTTGTTTTTTAACTTTTACCTCTTTTGGAAAATGAAAAAAGAACCAAATTATAAAAGATGCAGTTTGAACCTCAAAGAGTCAACAGATGCTGAAAACACCAAAATACCCAGTGTGTCAATGAGTATTTGAAATCATGAGAAGGAAATCTTGCAGAAGACAGAGGCCTCATAAAAAAATACTAAAATGAGCTGACTACCGGGAGAGCCTGAGTGAGAAAAGAAGCTTTTATTGCAGTTAAAGGGCAGACACTCAAGATGTGTTATTTAGGGCAGTCACCACTAATAAACCAGGACTTGCTTAGGTTCCTCCCAAGGAAGATCAGAGACTGAATTTATTCCTTGTTCTCTCAAGTTCCCTGGATGCTGCTGCCCTGAGATCTGGCTTATTTCATGACAGCAAACATATCTGTTATTCTGCAAACGAACTTGATCCCAATTCCATGGAAATGAATGACGAGGCTCCCACTGATTGCAATCAGGCATAAAGGAACAAAAATGCACACGGAGACTTGGTCAGACTGGAAAATTGAAGCCATTTTAAAGCAGAATATCCAGGAGTCTGGATAAAAATGTTCAAATCTAGTCTGGATTGAATGAAGACAAAAGAGAAGCACACTTCATATCTTTTGAACAAACATTGTTTCAAACAGAGGGGGAAATCAGAGTGATTCAGACTTGGACTAATATACGCTGCAAACACTGGCAAGCACAGTTTTGGCATAAGAAAGGCACAAACCCTGAATTATTATTAATTACATGAAAGTAAATGCAAATGGAGTCTTTCCCCTAAGGTTTCTCGATGTGAGAATAGATATTAAACACACAGAGCTTTCCAAGCAACAATACTCACAAAAATAAATGTAATCTCAGGAAATGCTTGCAATGAAATCAGCAGAAGCATTGCTTATGAGTTCCTTCCATTACTTGGGCTATTTATTGACCTTTGTGTGTGTATACATGTATTAAACTGACAGAGTTATTGTTTTTTCGTCATCCTTATTTAATAAGTCTCATTTTTCTAGATGAAAGGGTTTTTTACTGATGAAGAGGGGATTTCTTTTTCTTTTTTGTTCAAGGTTTTGATAAAAATCTGACATAATTTTTAACTATTTTGAAATTATTTTATAGAGTTCTTTTATACCTAATATTAAGTTTAACCCTAAAATTACATTATCAGTGTCCTGTTTACCAGAAACAAATATTTGTATATGAGCTTTAATATTTCAGGTGCTGCACCCACAGATGTCCCAGACAAATTGCTAAGCCCTGTGAGCAAAAAAGAATCTATCCAAACATATAGAAATAAATTATTTTTATATTGCAAGGTGTTCTGGAAAATATCTCAATTAAGTTAAATCACACAAATAACTGATTTTTTAAAATTCTATGCCAAATGGAGTTTAAAAAAGGGACCAAAGAGATTCAGAAAACTAATATTAATTTCAAGGTGATTGTAACAGATTGTCCAGATACAAAAAAAAAATTGTTTCCCTTTTACATATCTATCTATACGTATGTAACATAAACTTATTTGTTTTAAATACACATATTAAAAAAAAAAACCACCAGATTTGTGGCTGGCAAAAATAGCTCCAGAGACTATTTTTAAAGGGGAATAAAAAGAAAGAGAAACCCTTTTTGAAATGCTCAAGTGGAATATTTTAATTTTACTGCTTTGGCTTTGTTTTTGTGTTGGAACACTTCAGATTAGATTTAGAGCTTTGTCTTTGCAATGTTCTCCACAGTTAAGACGACTAGTTATTTTTTCTTATTTCTTTTAAAGAAATTAAAGAAAATGAAGGATGTTTCTAATATTACATAAACCCATGACATCAAGAGCCTGAAATTCACTTCACGATTCTTGATGAAAAGATTGACAACAAGGAAATACAGATTTTCTTTGCATTTTCTCCTGATTTTCCCCTACACATTCCAATTCCTTCCTTCTGGAAGTTTCTCACCAAGGTAGGAGGACAAGCTGTCTCTCATGACTGTTTCCTCTTCCCTCCTTAGAGGGTGCATCTCTCCCTGTCCCACCAAGCTACAGAATCACAGCTGGATGTCACAGATCTGAGAAGCTGCTGAAGGAGCTGCCAGGCTGGAGGGGGAAAAGATGAGAGGAAGATTCCCTTTCTTCCTCTGCCTTGGTTTCTGGCCAGATAGATCCTATGCAAACATTAACTCTCCAAACAGATGCCCCAGTTGGGAAGGTATCTCTGACTGTGCACTGTGCTGCTCAGGTGTGGATATCTGCCCTGGTTATCACCTAGCAGCAAAATTCATGTGAATATCCCACACCTTGCTTTAGGCAGAAATGGCAGAGTAAATGAGGACAGGTTTAACTGATGAGCAGATCCTTCTCTCCTGATTGTGCACCATGGGAGTGTGTGTATGGAAAGCTCTGCTGGTTGACCTGTGAGTGATGCAACTGTCTCCAGAAAAGGATTTCTGACCATGACTTAAGAAACAATGCATCAGTGAAGCAGGACAGAGTTGCCTCACAGAAATTTTTTTCTGGTCATTTTTTTCAGTTCTGAAATAAAATACTGTCAATGAGCAAGCTCTCATCTTCCATCAGCCTCAAGGGTTCTCATTTTTTTCTTCTATTTTTTACTTTTCTTGCAGTAAAAAGGTAGTTTGAAGTAAAAAGGTTTCTTTCTTCTATTAGGAATTTTATCTTTAGTTGTACTTTGAACTTCTACTTCATCAACACTTCTGGCTAAGAGAAATCAAGCAAGGTGCACAAGCAAGAAAACACCATCTGTAACGATGACAAACTATAAACACCATTCACAGGCCATTAAGTTTGTAATCTTTTTCTCTTCATCATTATTCTCTTACCTCCATTAAATTCTTCCACAACCAAGTGCAGAAGCCAAGGGTGATGGCAGTAGAGTGATAGACAAGAATTTTTATTGTCCTGTCAATGCAGATAAACCCAGAGCTGAGAGAATGTCAGGTGAACTGCCCTAGTGACAACTGAAGTTCAGTATTCTCTGAAAAAGGAAGAAAACACAAATGATTTTTATGCCTTTTAGGCTTTTAAGATTTATGTTACAGAAGTATCCTGACTCTGTGGAAGGCTGGTCAGGCTCTGACTGATATTTATTGTTCACAGGAAACTATTATCTGCACTTGATCAGTCTGCTTCAAATTGCAGATTTGCAAGGCTGCAAAGACAATCAGAGGCATCCAGCAGCCATGATTCTCCTGAGGAACTGGAAAGGAATAGAAGATGATGGAATGAAAATGACTCAGTGGACACAGGTAAGCCACTTGCAAATGGTTGTGAATAGCTGCAAAGACCCTCTGTTGGTCAGGGAAAGGAAAGTTTGCAGTTTGTATCTCCACACAACAAAAAGAAGAGAAAGGAACTTGCTCAGAGTCAGATATAGAAAAGATACATTCCCACAGGAATAAGAGAGTCAGGTAATGGCCAATTTTTCTAGTATGGCCAAATGTAGGATGTTAGAGCACAACAGTCTCCAATTTTTGTTTGGCAGTGTGTACCACCACTGGTAGTAACATTACATTAGAATATGCAGTTTGCCTTATTTGCAAAGAGAAACCCCAATGCAAACCCCAGATGTTTTCTAGTCAGTTGATTCTCAGTCGCTGACACTTGCAATGCAACCAACTTCCACAGCTCTGTCAATTGCTAAAACCTGCCATAATCCTCAGTTTACCATGAGACTTTGCTGGAGCCAGTGTTAAAATAGTCAGTGTTAAAACAGTCAGCTGCTTAGTAGCTGAAGACCTTCAGGTTGGTCAAGCATGACTTGCTAAATTAATTCTCATTTTTCCTTGTTGCATTCTTGCCTTTCATGTGGTTGAAAGTGTTCACAGCATACATTTTAGTTATTGATGGCAAAAACCTTCTGGGTATTATGGGGTTGCTTTAAAACAGTCAGGATGAAATGCGACAATTGCTGGGTCATCCCTGTGGTTATCATTCATATTGGCAGTGGTGAATGAGTTGACTACAAGATACACCTCAGGCTTCCTCCTTTTGCCAATGTTTACTAGTTTCAAAGTTGTTGTAATACAGCCCATTCTATCTGTGAGCTCCAGCTCAGCTTTCACCTCAGCTGCAAGCTCAGAGCACCAGCTGAGTGCGTGCAGTCCTGATGTAAGTGCAGCTCTTGCAATTCTACTTTACACTCAACCAACTATGAAACCCAGCAGAATCTAAGACCAGCTCTTCAGGGCAGCTTTCCAGGTTTCTCAGGCTGCAAAAGCTGATCAAGAGAGAATGTCAGCTGGGAATTTCAAGCAGCAGATTTTCTCATCCACAGTCTTCTGTGGCCTGTGGGGTTTTTTTTGCTCCTAAATCCCATGGTAATTCCTGATAGACAAGCAAAACTCAGGAGCACAGGGTGGTAATGGATTGATGCGTCCAGATCACAAGGGGAGAAGATCATTGCAACATTGAGATTCAAGATCAGCACAGAGGAGCAGATATCAGAAGAGAGGAACCAGTATTCAGTCCCAGGATTGTGGCAGAGTGCTGGATTCCACACCAACACAGATATGGTAGCTGTGCAGCCACATGAGTATTGCTTCAGCACCTGACTGGGAGTAGGAGCTTCTCTGGAGAGGGTAACTCCCTTCCAATGCTCCCTTCCTCCCATGGCAAATCCACCCTTGTTTTATCACCTGGCACAGCTGGTCCAGGGAGTATCTGCCTGCAGTTGTAAGAGTAGGAAGGAGGCCTGAACCCAGAGAGTAAAAACAGACCCTGCACCATGAGTGTGGGGTTTGCTGTCCCATTTGTGGTTAGTTGGATGGTGTGAAAACGCTCTGGATCCAGAAATGGAAGTGAAACAGAGGAATTACATAAGAGAATTTCCAGAGCAGAAAATCCAGACAAGTCTTACTGTCCTCAGAGAGAGCTGCTGGCTAATAAGCACGACTAGATATTTCAATATAAACAGGATTTGATGAAAACTGCAACCAGGTATTGGTGCTGAGCACCTTCCTGTACTTGGAGGCAATCCCACTGAATGAATCTGCTCAGCCCCCAGCCTCATTGCCAGATACATGGACGTTTGAATTCCCCATCTGAGGATTTAGCAAAGCAAAATGGCTCAAAGTTATAAAATATCAAATTCTTGCCCTTTTCTTGAGATAACTTTAAACCTCAGTCTTTGCAACAGGCTGCAGCAAGAGGGAGTACAAGAACAAAAAGCCCTCGCTGTTAATATTTATGGCAACTAAAGCAAAATTGCAACGCATTTGCAGATGAATAGGAGCCCTTGTTAAAAGCTGCACCAGCCTAATTTTAGGACAGCACTGGTTTGGCATTTGATTGTGTGGAATAACAAAGGAGAGATTTCATGTTAATTAATTTAGAGGAATTATTAGTGTCAAAAATAAATAGTTCAATCACCTTTCCAAAAATAGTCTGAGGAAGGGAAATGAATCTCAGTGGAAAGAAGATAGAGGTTTTCTTTCAGTTACAGATTTTTGTCAAATATTTTGGTCACTTATTGTCAAATGCAATGCTCCAATAGAAGTAACAGGATTTATTTATAATAACACCTATTTAACAAATATTTACCTATTGCTACAAAACAAGCTATATGGCTAAATAATTTCCATTTGTTCAGTGAAATAAAGAAGCATTAGGAAGTAGTTGGTTTTATATATATATATATATATATATATATATATATATATATATATATAATTAGTCCCTATTTTATTTAAAGTATGGAGCATCCAAACCTTATTTAGAAAACAAAACAAAACAAAACAAAACAAAACAAAACAAGCACTCAAGTTTTTGTGATATTTACAGCTGAAAGTCATTTTTTCCCCCCCAAGGGAAACTGCAACAAGACCTGTTGTATCCTGATTTGTTTGTTTGTTTTAACAGAGATTCTGTTTGGGGGAATTATGTGCAATGTCAAACTACAGTATTCATCACTCACCATGGCTTGATAGGAATCAATGGAGCAGTGTTCTTCTTGGTCTCCGTTCATTACACAGTCTTCTCTGAGAAAAGTCATTATTTAAAATGAGTGTAGATTCAAAAAATCCTGATGATACAAATATTTACTAGGGAAAGATTATACTCATTTGTCTAAAAGCATTCAGATTCACAAAAGGCCAGGCTATATTATGCCCCTGCCTTATACTAAAAACTCAGCTGGTTAAGCCCACCCAGTTCTGTTTTGTTCTCCATATCCTCTCTCATTCCTTTTTCTCCCTTCCTTCCATCACAGGACAGGCAGGGTTGGCATAGTCCCTGAGGTGCTCCCATCACACAGGGTGCATAGCCTAGCATGTTTCAGGAGACAGAAATGCTGTGGAGCCAGGAAGTCTCTCAGGAGCACATTTTTCACAAAGGTAGTCTCTGATAGCGAATATGAAACACTCCAGGGGAAAGGATTCCTGCAGATGGCAGATTATTGCAATCACTGTCATAAGGATTTATGTCCTTGACCAAGCCCATATTTCCACCTGTCTCAGAACCTGCCCAGTCCCAAGTGAAGATTTGTGTACTCATCCACGTTTCAAGCTGTTCCTGCTTCTCTTCTCAGGGCTATATAAATCCTGAGGAAGATGCTTGCTCCACTGCAACATATACCTAGAAATGGCATCTGCTCCCCTCCCTAGATTCCAGCTTATTCTTCCTGAACCCAGAAGCAAGAAACTCCCCAACACTCTTGTGCATGAGCAGATCTATGGCTTTGAGGTAGTTCCTCCTGGTGCAGATGAAAACCCCCAGCCACTGCTCATCCTGGCAAAGGCAGAGGCTGAAGAGGCCAGCTAAAACCTGCAATTTTAACTTGCTCTCATGGTATCATGTTTTATACCTGCCTCTTCTTCCATGGTTCCTATGGCTTGTTCATATCCCCTCTCCCCAGGCAATACTGGACACGTGGAACAGAACAGTCTCCTGACCAGGTAGTGTAGCAGCTCTCATGGAAAACACCTTCTCACCAGATGCTGGAGCTGCACATGGGGTACTGAAATATCAGATCAGGTGGTGCCTCAGATCTGGGTACCAATGAAAGCAGTCTTTCCCTTCTCTGGGCACAGCCATGGAGCTCAGTCACATCACAGCAGCTTCTTTTTGTCTGAGTACAGGAACTCGGTGCCTGCTCCCAACCGAGAAAGCTATCCCTTACATCAAAGGACAGCAGATTATTCTTTTGTGCCAAAGACTCCGCTTTCTTATCTCTGACGGCTCAATCATCACATCATCTGTGGCAAAAGATGGCTGGCAGCAAGATTAGATTACAGCGATTTAAAATGTCTCTCTCAGATAAGAGCAGACCACGAGTATTCAAAAGTACACATAATCAGATTGTAAGCTTGACTATCACAGCTTGCCTCAGACACCAGGAGTATAAATACAGATTAGACAAATTTTGGGAAGACAGGTCCATTAAAAGTCCTACTACATTATTACTTATTAAAAGTAAGGGATCAGGTGCAGTTTCTGCTGTTGTTAGAATCTCCTAAACTGGTAATTCCTGAAAACAGGGCTCAGGGGAAGGCTCATACTCTATGTGTCTCCTGTGTCCACCCACAACAAGGTCTAAGCTGGAAAATGTGTCTGTGGTCCTTGGATGGATCCAGTGTTTTCTCTCCATGACTGATTGTTGTGCATTTGCTGAAGAGCTCTGCAGGTGTAGTGTGTGCACACTGCATAAGATGTGCTCAGGGCACATCCCTATCACTCGATGGCCACTCGTCACAATGCAGAGATAATCATCTGCCTAAATGAGACAGCTATATTGTTTCTCTCCTTAGCCTTAGCCACTCATTGACATGCAAACCTCTATAACAATCCCAAGAGAAATTTCCTCTGACCTCTTACTAATTTCCTTCTTCCAAGTTCTTTTTCTGTCTCACCTACTCATCCCTGAATTTCATTCCTTCAGATTAAAGCCTCCTTAAGAGACTTGTGCTGAGAAGGTGACACTTTTTAGTTGATCCTCTGGGATAGATCCACCTGCTCAATCTGTTGAACAGAAAAAAAAGGATTGGGCTGATAACAAGGTAGCTCCACCTCCAATCATTACTACTCTGCTGATCATACTTTGACTCAGTTTCCCCCAAAAGTGGCCTTTGTGAGGAGTTGGGGCTTAGTAAAGGAAAGGAGCTGTTTAAGCGTGAGTGTTAATTATTGTTATTACCCGACAGGCTGTAACTAATAGTAACCATTTAGCTGGGAGATGTGGAAACAGGTATGCAGTTAATTGCTAGATTTAGCTGAGGTCAGGTGGTTACACTGCAGACAATCCATCATTGTTGTAAGCAGCATGAAGTTATGCCCAGCCTGAATTACTGTGAGTCTCCCTTCACCTCTGGTGCTGTGCTAATATCCCAAGACGTGTCACCAGTGAGCATTTGAGTGAAATCTCTAGAAGAATGTGGAACAAATCTGTAAATCGTTTTCTGAAATGCCCTGCCAAAAAAAAAAAAGAAAAAAGAAAAAAAAGAAAATCAATAAGGTCTTCCGTGTCAGGAAGGAAATGTTAAAAATATTAATTAAAAAATAAACTCTCCCGTAAATCAAATGGGAATGAGTGGGAGCAGGCAGACGGGGATGGAATAATTTCAGTGGAACAGCTTTCAATTCCCTCCAGTTTTCATGGGCATTGGGAAGTGCCTGTCACAGCTCAGGGCCCTGTCCTGCTGTGTAGGCAGTAACCAGCAGTGCTGTTTGTGGTCAGGACCAGCAGCTCCCGTGGCCAGCAGGCACCAGGGTCTGCAGCAGCCCCTGGTATCTCCTCCGGCCACCACTGTGACTGCTCCCCCTGCGGGGAGGACATCCACGGAGAGAGGAGCGCAGCTCCTGCGGGGGAAACTGCTGGTCCTGAAAGCCGGAGAGACAGCTAAACCAACAAGGGTTGTTTTTTGGAGGTTTTTTTTTTTTTTCCTGCTGATAAACCGCTGGAAGGGAATCTCCCTCTCCACCAAGTGCTGTCATTTCATTTCCAAAAGCTTGTCCCTGTCTCCATCAGCATTTATGTGGGTACATCTCTGCCGTGCATGAGTGATTTATTTAAGCATCAGCAGCTACTGTACGCGACAGTACAGTGAAGCACAAGCGGGGGAGGGAACAGAGGGCAGAAATGCGACTTTCCCTCTGTAAAAGCAAGCACAGGTGCCTATTCTGAGCAACTCCCGTGCACTTACACCAATCACGGGAAGAAGGAGAAAGAAAGGGTTATTTCAGAGCCTGCTCAGACCTTTAAGAGCACTTAATTATTCGAATTAAAACATTTCCTCTGGGAAGACTATATACCCACACGCATGTACTGTTCCTTCACTTTGCACATCTGCTTCCAGTCGCTGTGCGGAGGTTTCAGTATGCTGCGGAGGTGAGGGGTTTGAGCTGACGGGAAGCACAGGGGAGGAAGGGATGGGATGACACGAGTTTGAAAGTTAGGTTAAGTCCGTCGTTGGAGTGTGAGCGAGAGAGGGGGAGTGAGTAAGCAGCCACTCCCGGCACACGGGGCGGCCTGGCTGCGGGAGGAGTGTGATGCACAAGCGGCGAAGGGAGAGGGGGCAGAGAGAGAGCGAGCGGGAGAGGAGCGAGCTGAGACTTCCACAGAGGCAGCCGGGAGAAATCACCAGCCACGATTCGCTCCTCTCTCTCTCCCTCTCTCTCTGATTTCAAATCAGCTCCTCCCCCGTGTGGTTGTGGCTTTGCCTTCCATCACAAGCCTCATCAGCAACACCAGTCTTGGGGAAAAAAAAAAAAAAAAAAAAGGAAAAGAAAAGAAAGAGAAGGGAAAAAGACACGAAAGGAAAAAGTGCAAAAGAAGATAAAGGAAGCAAGAGGGGGAAAAAAGAGGTGGGAAGAAAGTAATCTCCTCTACCCCTCGGCTGCATCTAGCACAGAAGAGTCTGAAACTTTACGTGGAGTTCTCGCCGTGTTTACTCCGCGGCGGCGGAATCGGCAGCGCCCGGCTCTCTCGCTCTGCCCTCTCCTTCTTGCTCCTTCTCCTCGCACTCATCAGCAGTCGGCAGCGATGGAAAAAGTTGCTGGCTGGTACCCAGCCTGGCACGTTGCTCTCCTGTACTGGACATGGCTTTTCCTCTTCACTTATGGCTTTACCGGCGCAGAAATAACTTGCAGATCCTGCCGTTCCCAGGTGCAGCCGCAGCAGCAGCCGCAGCAGGGATTACTGATGCACTTGAGGACCGACAGAGGAGAAAAGGAGCAAAGGAGCTTCCTCGGGGAGAAGGGAGGTGAGAGAGGGCAAGAGGAGGATGCCGGGCTGCAGGCGACCCTCGCCCCTGCTCCCGCGGGGATGCAATTCAGCGGCTTGGAGACACGGCGAGTGCCGAGGGAGCCAGAGAAAG